GTAACAGGCCTTGACCTAGCAGCCCACTGCCGTATCCTCTTGCACGACCATCCTAAGCATCCTCTTCTTGTACGGCGCCTAATTCTTTACCCTTTATACTTCCTCTCCGAGGTAGCCATTATCGCCACTGATCTTGCAGAGCTCTTGGGATCCGCCATTGGAATTTGCCTCATCTTTCCATCCCTCCCGCTTTGGGCTGGAGTAGTAATCACGGCTTTTGATGTCTTTCTCTTTCTCCTCATCTCTGACCCCACCCGTAAGCGTAGCCGATTCTTTGAAGTGGTTGTGATCACTCTGGTCATGTCGGTGTTCGCATGCTTCATTGTGCTCATCGTCAAAGTTAAGCCTACTTGGCCGAAAGTGTTTATGGGGTATATACCTTCCAAGAAACTCTTCAAATCCGACCCAGATGCCGTCTACTCAGGTATACGAATTTTTCGCCGCTTTTACTCCAACTAAACCATGGAACCAGCTGTAGGAATTCTGGGTGCAACAGTTATGCCGCATGCTCTCTTCCTAGGCTCATTCATGGCGACTCAAGACCGGCGTGCGCTGATTCCGCGTACAGATCGGGCCACTGGAGCCGAGCACCCTCCATTCAATCTTTCTTCACGCGTCAGGAAGGGAATTAGAAATCTATTTGGGGTGTCTACCACGGACACAGACATCTGCGTCGTCGAGGAGAAGAGGGAAAACCACTCTCCGACATTCATACGACAGCACCTCAAGCATGAAATAGTGGACGTTGTCTCAAGTTTACTATTTCTAGCTGTCCCGATTAATTCGGCGTATGTCTCTTTCAAATATGATTTCTCCAAAGAGCTAACGAGAGGTGACTCAGCATTTTAGTCATGGCCGCCACGGTATTCTACTCCGACTCCGACGAGCCAGATATGGATGCGGATGATATTACCGTAGCCGGCCTCTTTGACGCACACGATTTGATAAAAGCGAGGATCGGCAAGGGTGTGTGTTCCTCATGCAGTTTGAATTCAATAAAATATTGGGTATCTAATTCCCTGAAACCTAGGCGCCGCCTTCGTATTTGCCCTTGCCTTGATTTTGGCAGGACAGACATCGGGGATAACAGCTACTCTTGCGGGTCAGATCGTTTCGCAAGGATTCATCAACTTGCGTATGTCACCTTTCCTTCGGCGTCTGCTTACCCGTGCGCTCGCACTGGTACCTTCGGTGGTTGTGGCCATTGCTGTGGGCCGTGCAGGTATCGACAGTCTCCTCGTCGTTTCTCAAGTAATCCTGAGCGTCGTCTTGCCGTTCGTGGCATTTCCACTCATCTGGCTGACGTCCTCTAGGCGCGTCATGCGCGTAGAGGGTGGAAAAGACCATAGCAACGGGTGGATCTTGGCCGTCGTGGCGTATGGAATATGGGTAGTCGTCCTGGTCGCTAATTCATATGCCGTCGTGTCTTGGGGCGGCCTGACGTGAAATTCCGGCCGGGTACCGCGTGTCTGGACTTTAGCCGTGCATCGATTGTATTGTACTAAGCATGTTTTAGTGTTGGGTACTCGCGAATTCGAAATGGTGTGTGTGAAGAGACGAAACATGTTTCCGCCCTCGCCAAGAGAGAAGAGAAGTAAGCACAAGGTAAAGCTTGACATGCACCTACCGACACCCACATGACTGAAACAAAGTGATACTCGCAGGATTCAAGACAGACGCGTGAAGCACCAGAGCAACGTGTTATTCATGATGGCCATTTGTAATTACAGTCTGCAGACGGAGGACAACAAACTAAGCGAGCAGAGAATTTCCGGAAGATTATATTTAGATACTATGCGAAATAAGTGATTTAAAAAATCAATTCGAGACCAAGTCCGTCACTGGGCCATGAAGCGGTACGAAGATTGGTTCGGTCGAAAAGCGCACGGCGTGCAGGATGTCAGACGACATGGGGGTTGGACAAGCCAAGGCTGGAGCAGGATTAAGAACATGGCACTAAACAGAAGGGAGAAGACACACACACATAGATTTATACGGGATCGTTATTTAAAGCTCTACTTGATCTCCGCACAGTCGCACTGGGCGGTGCGGCCGATTGCGCCCTTGCCACAGACGTCACACCAGGAACGATTTCCCTGGTCCACGCCGATGGAATTTTTGGACGAGTTAGAGTGGTGGGAGCTAGCGACGGACTCGTCACGATGGATAGAGATAATGTGACGACCGAGGTCATGCTTCCTGGAGAACGAGCGGCCACACGAGCGGTGGGGACAGACGTGTGGCTTGAGACGATTGGGATCATGAGTGGCCATATGAGTTTTGAGGTTATAGGCCCTCGCAAAAGCTGCAGAGAGTGTGTGTCAGCAATGGAAAAAGCGAAGGGAGAGCTACTTGCCTCTTGGACACGAAGGACACTGGTACTTTTTGCGTGGGTCCTGTTTGTGGTCATCGACGCGGATGGGGGGAACATTGGGCACTACCGGAAGCTGCGTCGAGACATGCGACGGCGACACGGTGGCCTGGCTCATGCTGTAGTAGTATCCAGCCGACCTGGACGGTGGACCGTAGTCAGAGTAGCTGGTGCGAGCTACGTACTGCTTCGCAGCCGCAGAGGGCGGCGAAAGGGGTGGGGTTGGCGGCAAGGAGCCAAAGGAGGTAGGGTCAACATTGGCAGGAGAATAGTCACTGAGGGCGTCAACTCTGATTCGCTGAAAGTCCATCTCAAGGTCTAGGGGAAAGGAATAGTTGGAGGCAGGGTAGTCATATGCAGAGTCGTAGGAGCTCTCATAGGCTGAGCTCCGTGCTGAGCTCTCTGTGATTGCAGAAGGGGGGCCCCGTGTAGGCGTGTCCGATCGCAAAAACGAGTAGGCGTCGTTCGAGTCGACCGTGAGCAGCTGCAGCTGCGCCTGGTCGATTCCAGCGAGACTCGAGTCAAGCTCGCTCTCGAAGAGGTCAGGATGAGGTGCTACAACGTCCAAGGGCGCTGCAAAAGATAGAAAATCAAGGCCCTGCTGGGTATTGGGCTTGGAATAGTCAAAGTTGTCGAAAGTAAAGATGGAGGTCATCGTTGCTGCGGACGTGGTGGGGGTCGAAAGCTAACAATACATGAAATGTCATTGCCAAATATGACTGCTGCGCTTTGCTTAGTCATCTTTCACACGTCCACTCGCACTGCCCGTGTCTCCATCTATTATCGTACATCCTTTTATTGCGTGTTACTGCGATCCCAGCGTTTACCTCGTCTTTTTCTATTGATTATTGAGGCTTCTCCTTCGTCTTTTTTGCCTCTGCCTTTTTTCTTTTTTTACCCTTAGTTTGACCGGGCTCCGATAGTTCGCACCGGCTCGGCGGCCATACATCCGACGGCCAGTTCGCATCCGCCATGTCGCAATCGCTATTACTGCTGGTCAAGCCTTTTCTTTTCAGCTGAGGCCCAGATGTCATAACACTCTTGGCCTTCGGGCAAGTTGCGAAACTTTAGTGCTGGGATGCCGGTTCCTGAAATGATTCGCGGCCCCTCATCCTGCGCTCTAGGCCGATTATTACGGCCCGCCTAGCTCAATCGGATAGAGCGTCAGACTCTTATGCTCGCTAGACGGATCTGAAGGCTGCGAGTTCGACCCTCGCGGTGGGCTAATGATTTGGTTTTTGACAAAGTTTAAAGGCGGCAGTCACTACTGACTACCAAGAATCTTCTAGGAGCCAGGACTCCTACTATTAATCCGACTCAGTAGCGCCACATGTAATTGACACTGATTTTCCGTCGTCCCTCAATAGAATATCTGTTTTTTTTCCTCGGCAAGTGAACCTTTCCGTTCCAACACGACCCAAAATGTAGCGTAACATGCTGTGACCGCATCTGACAGTCCCCGTCGTAGCAACGTAGGGATACGCCTCAAAATCATGCCAAAAATAACGACATCGACAGTGAATATTTAGGTCTTGGGCTCCCTTGACACAGATGCCGACAGAAATGACAAGCATTCTGCGCTGACCGGACTCTTTGAATCGGACTCGGACTAAAGAGTCACCAGGAGCTAGTCATGTAGGCTTCTGACCGGATATTTACCGCTCCAAGTGGCGTACGCTATGTTTCGGGCGGAAAGGGAGTAGGATACACTTACAAATCGAGTTTCTCCCACCCTAGAGTAAAGAAAGGAAATGCATGAAGGTCTGTACTAGATTTCCGACTGGTATTTACTGGTCAGTAAAAGCGTTGTTAAGACGACGAAAAAATTAAGATCCCCGAAAAATACAAGTTGGCTTAAAAGCTCATAACACCGCTCGAACGGTTAACTGCGCAACGTAGATACAGTCAATAGCGTAAAATTTGAAAATCTAGTACCCGGAATTCGGACCGCAAACTTAGCGGTAATTTACCACAGCTTTCTGAACTCGGGAGGGTTTTTGAGGACGCATCTTACCTGTCTTGCGGCTATCATATCGCTACATAGTATTTGGAGCTCATCCCACCAAAATGCGAAAGAAAGTATTCTGGTGATTAGGGTTGCCTAGGTTCTGAGACACCAGGTTTTCGGACCGGTAAGTTACCGGTCTTGAGCAGTCCGAGCTTGCGAGGGCAGCGAGAGATTGTCTGAACTCTCTCGCTTGCAATCAGCATCGCCAGTGGACCTCCCATCGCTGGAAAAATTTCCATCGAGGTAACTTACATGTCATGACAGCCAATTCAGCATAATAATTCAATACTATTGTATGTATATTCCATTTGCAAGGTACATTCATAGATGAACAATCTTTATAAGTGAATTGCATTTCATGATATCAAGAGATTTTTTGGGGGAAAAACTGTAATTGCCGGCGTGCCACGCGTCAGTCACGCGATGGAGGGCAGGATAAGCTAATTAACGGCAATCCCCTTGGAGGTTTCGTGCGCAGCCGTACTGGCGATTCATCAAAATATTAAGCTCGGGGAACGGGGTCAACAGTAAGGTAAGGGATCATCCTGTTTCCTGACTTTTGGACTAGGTATAAAAGTGTACACATCATACCCTAATCCTCCTTAGAGAAAAAGGAGGACTAGCCCACCGCGAGGGTCGAACTCGCAGCCTTCAGATATTATTTCCAGCTATAAAGTCCGCCGTAAAAGTCTGACGCTCTATCCGATTGAGCTAGGCGGGCTATAAATGGTTGATTAAAGTACATTTTATATCTCTAAGCTTGCAGAGATCATGCGACGATCACCATCATCAGTCACAGCCGCACGACTTGCGTATGTTCATCCGGACATGAGAGATCGTAAATGCTAGCACTAAACACCTAGTTTACCATGCTTGGTTCGAAGCAATTCAAGAAGTGAAACCGAACTTGTTGCATCAGCCCTGCTTAAGCATGCCCATGGTTCCTTGGCTGTCATCTTGCGACACGAATCGATCAGTGTGAAAAGACTTTGCGCGACATTCTGCGTCTCATACGCCACATCCGAAATTGTATATGTGTCATCAACGTAGATCTTCACCGTCACCCCGGACAGCGCACCGGCCATAGCTATGACGATTGTCTTCACCACTGGATCACCACAAAATGCTCCAGCTCCTCAAAGTGGGGCATAAATCTCCTTCGCGCCGGCAGGAAGGGCAGTGAACCCAATATAGGTTTTGTGCAGCTCACGTAAGAGGTTCTCAGGCATGAGATCGGGGAGACGATAGCAAAATAAGTTGTCTTCCGTGTCCAATTCTAAAGCCTTCATCAACAGGGAAATATGCTCTTCATCTTTATCGAGAGGCTCGATAAGATGTGCCTCGCGTTGTTCGTCCCTCCATAGACTTCTTGGGATGATGCCTCTTGCGAGGAGAGCAGCATTAGCGGGAGCGGGAGAAGCCACACACAGCGCATCGAGAGGTAATGATCCGGGGCACGCCCGGCGATAAGCTATTCATGTGTGCATGCTAAACTATATCCTGAAGATATATTTGAGAAGATAAGTGTGTATTTGACGGAAGGGGGAGGGAAGGCTATGTTGGGCATCGACACAAGTTCGATGAGGACATTGTCGAATAATTTGGCTTCATAGTTCACCAGGAATTTTTGGCTATCGACAAAGAGCGTAAACTGTAATAAATGAGAGTTGTAGCGTGGGTAGGATGCTGAAAGTAATGAAAGACGGTGGCAAGGTATCCACGGACGGCGCTCTCTAGAGACTGGAGGTACGAGTACTAGCATAGGAGCGTGCAGCTCCATCCATTGCCAGGAAGCAGCTGCACAGTTCCAAAGAGCTGGTAAGCAACCAAAGAGCGAACCTGAGCTCTTGAGAGATAGAGCGACGATTGCTGTACAGAGAGGTATGGAATAGAGTGTGAAGGAAATAACGTCGGTAATGCCAAGCCGGTATCCATTATATTGCACAAGACAGTATGGGCACTGTCAGAATCATACACATAGTAATTAGTAATGAAATCACGTAGGAAAACACCTGCATGTCCATTGCCATGAATCGAATCGAATATACCAAGTCCTGGATGGAATCTGGAAGCCCACTCAAGGCTAAACATTTAGTTTTGAATGCGTCAGTAGATGCATAAAATACATCCTACACGTACGGGGATGTTAAATCGCAGGCGCTAAAGGGATTAAGGCATTTCAAAGGACGGGGTTCGAGGGTAAAATGTAGTGGCTGTGCACTTGACGAGCGACCTGCTGCTGACATAATCATCGCGCGAAATGACCTGCCCTAAAGCTCGTTACTGAGCCACACTCGTTTTTATCTCCTGGTTGGCTACTCATCCCCGTCATGTCTGGCTTTGATGCGAACAATGTCTACAATGTCTCCGTCCATGACCCACCACCACCGACTGCGCCAGAGTCGGCTTCTGAGACGGAGAAGCTGCTATTAGACTTTTTGTTGCAGTATCGCGTGGGAGGAGAATTCATCTACAGGTGCGCCAGCCAGTGCTGTATCCCGAACTCTTTGGAGATCCACACTCGTACAGGGACATGCTTCGTGGAAATCTCCTTCTGAAGCAGAACGTTCTGGAAGTTGACCTTAGGCACGTCAGCCTCTACAACGACGAGCTGGCACACGCGATTCAGGATAGACCAGCGGATGTCCTGCCGCTAGTGCGTGTTACCTCTCCATTTTTTATTCAAGCTGAACTTGTGTAGTTTGAAAATGCCGCTACTCGCGCGGCCAAAACCATCCTCTATCCCCTCGCTGGTACTGATGAAGCAGTCAATGCAGTTGCAGAGTCTATCGACAAAGTCCAGATAACTCTCCGCTCTGGCCTCAACCTCCTACAATTCCGTGATCTCACTGCTAATACCATCAACAAGCTCGTAAGGGTTCCAGGAATAGTCATTTCAGCCTCTGTCCTTTCATCTCGAGCGACGAAGTTACACATCCAGTGTCGTGCGTGTCGTTCTGTCAAAACTATATACCCACCAGGAGGAATTGGAGGCCTTGGGTATGGAACCGGATCTGGATTGCCTCGGAGGTGCGAAGAGCCTCCGCTCGACGGACAGAAGAAAGACTGCCCTTTAGATCCGTATCTCATCATCCACTCAAAGTCCACCTTTGCTGACCAGCAGACACTGAAACTTCAAGAGGCCCCGGACATGGTACCCGTTGGTGACCTACCAAAGCATATGCTCCTCTCAGCGGACAGATACCTGACGGGGCAAGTTGTACCGGGCTCGAGAGTTATTGTAACCGGCATATACTCGACTTTCCAAGCCGCACGGGATGTGAGTTTTTGGTTCCTTGCATATGCATAGCCTCTAACGCTATGCTAGAAATCTGCCGGTGCTGCAGCTACTCGCAGGCCATACCTCCGCGTTGTCCACCTCGAAATGTCTTCCCCTTCTACCGCTAGTTCAGGTGGTTCCAACCCGTTTGGTGTACAATTTACCCCAGAGGAGGAAGAGGAGTTCAACGAAATGGCGCGGAGTGAAGGTTTCTATGAACGATTTGCCAAGAGCGTTGGTCCCAGCATCTATGGGAGTCTTGGTATGTAGTGACCTTCAGTCTTGAAAGCTCTTACATACGGATGCCATGACAGACATCAAAAAGGCCATTACCTGCCTCTTATTCGGAGGGTCGAAGAAAGTCCTACCTGACGGTATGCGGCTTCGTGGCGATATAAATATCTTGCTTCTTGGTGATCCTGGTACGGCAAAGAGTCAACTGCTCAAGTTCGTAGAAAAGGTAGCACCCATAGCTGTATACACATCTGGAAAGGGTTCTAGTGCCGCTGGTCTGACAGCATCGGTACAACGAGATACAGTTTCGGTGCGTACCTACTTACTATTTTCAAGTCTGGCCGATAAGGTAACAGCAGTATAGAGAGAATTTTATCTTGAAGGAGGCGCTATGGTCCTTGCCGACACAGGTGTCGTATGTATAGACGAGTTTGACAAGATGCGGGACGAGGATCGTGTTGCAATTCATGAAGCCATGGAACAGCAAACCATATCTATTGCCAAGGCAGGAATCACCACGGTGCTGAACACGCGTACCAGTGTCCTTGCGGCGGCCAATCCAGTCTTTGGTCGTTACGACGAGGGACGGAGTCCGGGCGAGGTGTGTTTCTTCTTCGGGCATAAGATCGAGCTGGAATATCTCTTTGCAGAATATTGATTTTCAAACAACTATCCTTTCTCGATTCGATATGATCTTCATCGTGAAGGATGAACATGACGAGACGCGAGACAAGGTTAGTTCATTCTGCACCAATCTATACAGTTCTCAATCATGTTCTGCAGACGATTGCAAAACACGTCCTGAATGTCCACATGAACAAACCTAATCAGCTTACGGACGAGAACGGTGAAGGTGAATTACCTTTGGACAAAATGAAGCGATATATTGCCTACTGCAAACAGTGAGATATTTGTCTGCTTACCTCTGTTATCATTAAAACCTTTACAGGAAATGTGCACCCCGACTATCTCCCGAAGCCCAAGAGATGCTCAGTAGTCATTTCGTCAGTCTTCGGAAGCAGGTCCAGCAAGTGGAGCAGGATAATGATGAGCGAAGCTCCATACCTATCACCGTTCGTCAACTTGAAGCAATAATCCGTATATCGGAGTCTTTGGCGAAGATGACACTAGCACCTGTTGTGCAGAACCATCATGTGGAAGAAGCTATACGGCTGTTCAAGTTCTCTACCATGGACGCGGTGTCTGCAGGTTCTGCCGATGGCCTTTCGCGAGGAGGCCTAAATGAAGAGATGACGCGTATAGAGAAGGAGCTGAGGAGACGTCTACCTGTCGGGTGGCGAACTAGCTATCAGAGTCTCATCAAGGAGTTCGTCACACAGCAAGGGTACTCTAGCCATGCACTTGAGAGGACATTATATATCCTAGAGAAGCGGGAGGTGATTCGGTTTTCCGGACAAGTAAGTGTCGAACACTATAGTTCACATCAAGTCTAACATGGTGCTTTATGTTCGCAGAAAAAAGTTGTCCACAGGTGCGCAGTGCTATTCTATTTCATTCCCTATGCTGATTTGCTTCCTGCAGAGTTGGAGTATAACCTAATGCTTGCAGCTTCACCAGATCGGATGTATGATTAATTTATTTCTTGTGTACTGATTATGTTGTTTGTATCGCACTACTGTCATCAGTTGACCAGCCTTCTAAAGAACGAGGTCTCAGTCATTTAAATGGCCTACTCATCGACAGCGACGCAGTGATGGCCAATGGTTATCGGAAGCACCAACGGGAAACTTCCTAATACTGAGGGTCGAAGAGCCTTATGAAGCGTAATTTGAGAATTGATTACGACTTCGAACAGCATCTTCCAAATGCTCAGTACATGCAAAATAGGGACTTTATTGCAATGAGGTCTCGCGCCAACGGCACCGCACCAGCCCGAGTAAAAAACGATGAGATACCTCAGGCTGTCGGGAAGCGTTTCCAACCGGAAGTTTGGAACAATTCTCAATATAGTCCGGAACCCTGGTAAGCGATCTTGAGGCCCTTGCGAGGAGTCACAGCAATTACGGTAAATCAAGGGCCCCTCGGGGCGGGGTCGGTAAAAAACTACACCTTACACTCCTCGGGATTTTGTGCGTAACCTTAAGTATTGCCACATCAACGCCTTGGATCTCGTCAAACGATATGTATAATAAATGTGCTCGGAGATTCTCTGTCACAGCCCACGATATTACTAGTGACTTACCAAG